CATTTCCTCATAATATTGATCACTGCCTGACCTGGGCTAGGTCTGAATTTGAGGGTTTACTTGAGAAGACTCCCACTGAAGTAAATGGTTTCCTGTCAAATCCTAGCGCATATGTAGCTGCAGCACGAACTGCTGGTGATGCACAAGCTAGGGATCAGCTTGAACGTGTTATTGAATGCCTTCATGGAGACAAGTGTGAGACATTCCAAGATTGTATTACCTGGGCCCGTCTTAAGTAAGTTTTAACCCTGTTTGTCCATACTCTTTGTATACCTGCTTCGTTTTAATATGGTTGAACTGTACAAAACTATTGCAGACAAAAGTATTTGCTTTTGACTATGCTTCATAGGTTTCATGTTACTCACTACACTATTTTTTATTGATGGTGTAACTTAGGTTTGAGGATTATTTCTCCAACCGTGTGAAGCAGCTGACGTATACTTTCCCAGAAGACTCGATGACTAGCTCTGGTGCTCCATTCTGGTCTGCACCAAAGCGGTTTCCACGACCTCTTGAATTCTCATCGACGGATCCAAGTCAGCTTAGCTTTATTTTAGCTGCTTCGATACTAAGGGCAGAGACATTTGGAATACCCATACCTGACTGGGCCAAAACTCCAAACAAAGTGGCTGCTGAAGCTGTTGACAAGGTGATTGTTCCTGAATTCCAACCAAAACAGGGGGTTAAGATAGTTACAGATGAGAAGGCAACTAGTATATCGTCTGCATCTGTTGATGATGCTGGTGTCATTGAGGAGCTTATCACGAAGCTAGAACAAATCTCCAAAACACTGCCACCGGGGTTCCACATGAACCCAATACAGTTTGAGAAGGTCAGTGTTATTCGTCTCTAATTCTTCCTCGGAAGTAGTGTTTGCCTGCACTTGTATACGATGGAACTTACGCTAAATATCTACCCTCTAGAATGAACAGAAATGTAATCCAGATTTGCAATTTTGCATACAAGTTTGAGAATTACTGATATGCTTTTCTGTATGTGCAGGATGATGACACCAATTTCCATATGGACGTGATAGCTGGTTTTGCCAACATGAGGGCGAGGAATTACAGCATTCCTGAAGTGGACAAACTGAAGGCTAAATTCATAGCCGGCAGGATTATCCCTGCCATTGCCACAGCAACCGCAATGGCCACTGGCCTTGTCTGTCTAGAGCTTTACAAAGTCCTTGCCGGCAGGCACAAGGTTGAAGACTACCGCAACACGTTTGCAAACCTGGCAATCCCCCTCTTCTCCATTGCCGAGCCGGTCCCACCCAAGACCATCAAGCACAAGGACTTGTCCTGGACGGTCTGGGACCGGTGGACCGTAACAGGCAACATCACGTTACGGGAGCTCCTGGAGTGGCTCAAGGAGAAGGGGTTGAACGCATACAGCATATCGTGCGGCACGTCGCTCCTGTACAACTCCATGTTCCCCAGGCACAAGGAGCGGTTGGACAGGAAGGTGGTCGACGTTGCCAGGGAGGTGGCCAAGATGGAGGTGCCATCGTATCGGCGCCATCTGGATGTTGTGGTGGCCTGCGAGGATGATGATGACAATGACGTTGACATCCCACTCGTATCTGTCTACTTCCGTTGAAAGGATTCCCTCTGAATTGACATCATCTCGTGTCCCATCTTTCCAGTGAGTTACTTTATATAGTTATACTGTAAACTGAGCTGGGGTTTAAAGCAATATTACTGATTTTCGTATGCACCGACTTGTTAGAGCTCAGTTCAGATCCTTTGGAAAATGTGGTGTCGAGCTTGATACCTCACCGTGATAATTGATGCATGACACCGTTGAACTTGAATGGCCTGTCTGTTTTCGCGTTTAGCTCGCGAAGAAGTGCATCCGCAATTACACAAGTTTGCTTGTTGGAAGAACGCTGTAGATGACCTCCCAAGCTGATGTTTAACCTAAGTTGTTGCCGCTAGAATTCCGCATCGACAGAAGAATGCGTACGGTAGACCTTTATCCGACACGGGTACTACGGATAATTTGTTTGGGACATTTTATATATCACAAACGTTTATGGATAGAGCAACGTGTGAAACTTCACATACAGTTTTATAGGGACAAATGTATGCACTCTTACATCCAATTGCATATGGTGCATGATAAGTAAATGTGTGTGATAGTCTCTTTATAGTATACGCTTTACAATCGTGAATTGTTTGTGATGAGATGCACATAGTAAGCGTTGCATCACAGAATAACGCGTGTGATGATAATGTCAACCCACACAAGTAGCAAGGATGGAGCATTTAGGACATTTGATATATCACAAACAAACAGTTGTGTGATGACTCGGGTTTTGGATAGATGCAGGCATAGCATACGCTTAGTTTTGCAGAACGTATGCATTCCTACTCTCTATCGCCGACGGTTTCTGGATCATGTAGAAAAGACCCACACACAACCAAGGCGATGGTTTAAAACTCTGTCGTGAAAAGGGGTTAAAAACCGTTTATATAGCACATCGCTGCACCGGTGACAAGGGCACCACCACGGGCACACGGGAGAATCACCACAGCTGCTGCTCCGGTAGCCGGTGCTCCAGTGCTGATCAATCCTCGTGACGGGAGCACCACCTGAGGTGCAAGGGCGCGAGCACGAGGAGCAGCGGTGCCAGCTTTGCATGGCCACGAGCACGAGTACCAGTGGCGCCCATCGCGCATGGCCGCGAGCGCGAGGACGACATGGTTGGGTGACGACGTGGGGAGTACCCCTTAGTCCAGGACACCATCACCTTCTGTGGCGGATTCCCCCTCCGGCAAAGTGCCGGAACAAACCTCCAGAATGGATCTCCTCGGAACAGAAACTTGTGGCGGCAGAAAAAACGAAGAAAAATCTTGCGAAGGGTTTCGCGAAATATGAAATTTATAGATGGAAGAATGGACGAAAGGCGATGCTCATGGGGCCCACACGGCCTGATGGCGTGGCCTAGGCCCTGGTCAGGCCCCATGCCCGTGTGGAGGCCTTATGGGTCTCCTCATCCTCCGGTGCTTTTTCAAACCTTCGTGTCCCGGAAAAAATCATATTAAATATTAATTTTCTACAAAGCTAAAAACATGCAGAAAACAACAATTAGCATTAGGTACTAGATTAATAGGTTAGTCAAAAATAATAATATAAAATGCTATAAAAAGTATACAAATGTAATATTATAATAGCATGAAACAATTAAAAATTATAGATACGTTTGAGACGTATCATGACCTTCTTCATCCTCCGGTCTAGTTACCAAAGCAAGGCAGTTCAAGTCTGATAAAGAGTCCTCGATGTCTTCTTCCGACAAATCTGCTGTTGGATGGATGCTATGGAGGTTACACCTTCCCAAGTGGTTCATCCTCGGCGATGATGTGATTCCATCTTTGTAGATCTGCTTTTGGGCCCAATTGCAATCTTATTTCTTGGTTGGGGTATTTGCAAAAGTCATGTACTTAGTTGTATTTTTCTTCTTCAGGTCCTTATATGAGCTTTCAACTAGCACCATCGTCTAGTAAATAAAGCATTGGACCTGTCTCATGTTAAAAAAAGATCAATCTGATCTTTTGTTTAATAAAACACCCAAAAAGCATCTTAGATTTGATTAACATCAAGGAAAACAAACGCCAGTACAATGAATACACAACTGGACATAGAACGACCAGTAAAAAAAATACATTAAAAGGATATATTAGTCTTCTTTTTCTTCTGATTGTATGCCGTCCGCCGGAGATTGAAGAATGCACTGAATCAATAGCAAAGAAAAATAACACAAACTTTTAAGAGTTTTTCTTTCTTACCGTTTCTTTATTTATTTGTGGAAAGAGTGCCGCAAGGTGACTCTGTTCAAATTGCATACAGAAGTATCTATAGCTATGCAAAGAGAGAGAACCAAAAACTCACCACAGTCAAGGAACATTTATTTGCACGACCAAATAGTAGTATTTCATGGCAGATGTTAATTCTTTTAGCCAGGACAGAAGAATAGGAGTCAAAAGAGAAGAATAAATTCTTCTTAAAAAAAGAAGCACAACTTTTTCTTGAAACTCAGGTAACCTTTAATTGCACAATGTACCAAAAAGTTAAAGTGCTAACATATAACATTCAACCAGAAATTTAGTTAATGTGTCTTACAAGAAGAAATCATGATTACTGTTACTACTAAGCAAACGATTGACCTATAATGATGTCTACCCTGTGATGTCTACTGTACAAAAGAACAAAAGTTTAGTAGTGGGCCCACCAGGCAGTGAGGGATGCCAATATGGATGTTGAGTATTCAAGGACTATTTTTTTAAAAGGTCGGCACTGATCTGCTTTTGCACAAACATAATGAAACGTGCGCTTGTGATGTACCGCGCTTCTTCTAGGACCCACCGATTGCACACTAGTGTATTACGTGAAAACTCATGCAATCTCATGCACGCGTGTACTTAAGATTCATTGCGTGTGCAAGGACCTAGCTGGACTTTTTAGTTAGTGTTCAGTGCTGGCCTTAGATCTCTCTTTTCCAAACCAACTAGAGAAAGTGAAAGCCACACACACCAAAGTGATAGCTAGTCAGAACGGGCGACTTTGGACTAACTTTAATTAATTTCAACAGTAAAAAAACGAGCTTGCTTCCAGCACTTAACTGTCCTTCTCTCCTTAGGTATACAGGACTAGTACATGTACTGTAAAGTGTAAAGGTTAGACTTAACTCAATCTTTCACCACCTCACTTTTAATTTGGATCTCCCATGCATTAGTATGCTTCCTTCCAAAGTCCACATATAATGTAGGAGTATGCATGAGCTCACTTCTGTTGTCTCCCACGCGCCAGCTAGCTTCACATGCAGATAGATAGAATTCAATGGCGACCTCCTTTAATTTGGCCTGATCTATATCTTCCACCAGAGTTGATTAAATGATAATGAGATGAGATCGATGCAACACAACAACAACAGCCTCAAATCAGGTCTCAAGCGCCTCGATCATCAAGTAGCTAGCGAGATCACCATCGGCTAAACGATGGGGACAAGCAACATGGGCAATGAAGGGAGCTCAGCCGCAAGCAACGATGACAGCACGGTGGAGGAGGAAGGCGGCCAGGACATGACCAGGGCCGGCGACTCGTCGTCGTCAGTGCGCCCCTATGTTCGTTCCAAGAATCCCCGCCTCCGCTGGACGCCAGAGCTCCACCACTGCTTCGTCCGCGCCGTGGAAAGGCTCGGCGGCCAAGATCGTAAGCCTACTCTCATTTTCCACAATCCTAGCTATATATGCATCCATCGACATGTTAACTTGATGTTCATCTTTGTGCAGTTGCAACTCCTAAGCTGGTCCTTCAGTTGATGAACGTTAGAGGGCTTAGCATAGGCCATGTCAAGAGCCATCTCCAGGTACGCATCACTTTACTTCTTATTTTTGCATCGTCGTCTTTTGCTGTGCGTTCATATTTCACTGATTCCCCTTTGCATGCGCAATGCTAATTCTGCAATTAATTGACGATGGGCCTTCAGATGTACAGAAGCAAGAAGATTGACGATTCCGGCCAGGGTATGTCCACGAACTCATGAATTTCACAGCCCTCCTTTGGATTCAGTATATTTTGCCCTGATCTGGTCGACTCTTATGTGCAGTCATCATAGGTCACTTGCAACAGGGAGGACAAGTCTATAACTATGCTCATCTCCCCTTCCATCATCGTGTCAGTGGTGCCGGTACAATGCTCTCTAGGTAGTTCATTGGATCTACTAAATTGCCCTCTACACATTCAAGTTTTTTGTTAAGCGATCGACTATATATTTTGGATAATTGGGGATAAATTTATTTTCCTCGTCCTCTGCATTATGAGATAAAACGACTAGCAAAGTTATTCAATAATCCTAATTTGATAGTTCTGAGTACTGACTAATTAATCTCCTTGGATGGCGAACTAGGTTTGGCACTAGACCATGTCCTCCATCGAGGGGGAGCTGGCATGAACCATACTGGCTCCATGGCCACCGTTTACTTGGATCAAAACCATACTATTCATCATCAGCAGCAGCTCATCATGACGAGGCTCTCCTTAGAGCACGTGCTCAACATGTATCTGACTATAACCCAGCTTTGATAGTCCAAGAATCCTCTTCACCGAGAAATGATTATCACGCCATGAATCGCTACCACTATGAAAGACGGCCGCTGCAAGCTGCTACGACGGAGGACAACGATGATCAGATCCATGGTCGTGATATAAACCTGGATCTCTCGCTCGATATCGGTGGTGGACAGCGGCTAGAGATGAAGAGCAAGAGAGGCTGCACGAGATGGGGGAAACAAGCAGAAGAAGATGATGACGATCAGGTTGATGTCAATGAAGAATTGAAGAGCACTGCTACTAGACTGTCTCTATCCCTACTCTCTCCTAGTCCTATTACTCTTGATCGAAAGGGGAGTAGTGCTAGTGATCATGCACTAGGTCTAGATGTCAATGTGGATAAGATAGGGAAAGTGCAATATGCAATCAGGGCAAGCACTCTTGATCTCACCATATGATCGATCTGTTGCAGTGTAGTACTTAATACTTATCCATATCCATATATACATATGTAGAGCAAGAAACCTATCTATAACATATAAAACTTATTTAGTATTTATTATAAGTGTCCTTTTTTCCAAAAACAGGGGAACGCCCTCGGCCTCAGTCATTATATATTCCTTTTTTTCTTTGAAAAGAAGGTTGAACCCCCCGCCTCTGCATCGAGTGATGCACACAGTCATTTTTGTTACTCCCTCTAATTCTAATTAATTGACTCAGCCTTGTATAGAGGTTGCATCAATGAATTTGGATCGGAGGGAGTATATTATTCAACAATGCCTTATAAGATAAAACATCGATCCTTCTTTCACCCTCTAGGCAATAAAGACACACCACCTTCAAACTTGATGATAATGGTGGTCTTGATCAGGGTTGCTTGCCCTGACCTCATCGAGTCTGCCATCCTCACGATTCAACCAGAGTGCCACCGAGAGGAGCAGACGTCGTGCACTGCGCCTCTAGACAGCCACGGTCGCGGGACACTAGATCCCTGCCACCCCCTTCACCGGCAGCGCACGGCTTTCTTGATGGCCACCTGTGTGGGGATGACAAGGGGAGAGGGGAGGGCGGAGGGGTTGGCGGTAGATGGGGTAAGGTTTTGCGCCCCCG